TGGATCGCTAGGAATATTACCTTCAAGGAAGGGCTGTTCTTTCCCCCTCCCCTTTTTTTTCCTCTCTCTTTTGTTCTGACTTATCTGGGTGTCCCACCCTCCTTAATTGACCAGAAGACATGCTGTTTGTGATATGTTTTCTACAAACAATTTTTCCGTATGATTACTGCAGCATAAGGGACAGCAATCCTGGAGGGGCTGTGATAAAATTACCGATCTCTGTAGCTGGCAAGAAGTGATACTAGAATATATGGCCTGACACAAGTAGGGAGTCTCTCAGAAGTCAAGTGCAGTATTTTTGCCTCCTGGCCAGCACAAAAAATCCTGTCCTGTGGTTATGTAATCCCCTCTTCAGCTAGTAACTCTATGCTGAGCTTTGGGGAGAAAGAAGGATGAATGAGCTTCTTATTTAAAACAAGGCTTCACTTAAAACTTTGTCTGTAGGCTTCCTAGCTGCACTGCTGTATGAATAACAAATGTCAATATCTTACTTTATGCCCAGACAAAAGTCCCTAGTGGGAAGCAGCTCCAGAGGCTGATATCAACACCAGCATAGCTGTTTGTTTGAGCTGGTCCCTTTGCAATCAATGGAGAGAGAAAAACAATTTTGGTGCCATGCCAACCTGGCCTACCTTGCCTGTTGAGTTTTGGGATGCAGAGGGAACCCAGCCAAAGTGTTGAACCTGCACTGTGGAGAAGTCTGTAGCAGGTGGGACAAATCAGAGATTGCCCAGACAACTCCTTAACCCTCATGGGCTGCAGCCAGTGTTAAAGGAAAGGACTTTGTGCTCCTTGTGCACGTCTCTCTGCTGTTTCTGGATTTAGTTCAGTAACTACCCAAAGGTGTAGGTGCTTACTGGTGCTTTTGCTCTTTCATGTAGAGAAAGACCTAAGGAAGTGCAGAACCTGGGGGAGGCAAAAGCTGCATATCCCTCAAGTGCCTTCTGACCCTTTGGTCTCTGGAAAAGCTTTCGTTAGCTGATGCTGCAGGGCTTCCTCAGTGAGTCTGGAGAGCACGGATGCTCCCGTGGAAAAAGATCTGTGCAGCATAGAGAGACAGGAACACCGCTGCTGTCAGATTGCATTAGGGCCAGGAGAAATGTGATATTTTTGTACATGGCTTAGAGCTCTCAGTTTCACTCCCCTTGAATTTTACTTTGAGTTTGGGAGTTGAGCCTCAAATTTCAGCAAAACCAGGTCAGATCAGGAAAAAAAGGACAAGAAAGATAAAATTTGTCCTCCAACCTGTACTGTGGCAGGCACTGAGTGAGAACAGCCCTGAATTATGAAGAGGGCAGTTGTAAAAGCTTGAGTCAAGCTTAATCTTGTGTTTGTCATATCAGTAACAAAGAGGGAGACGGGGCTTTAGCCTGTGTTTCCCTGCAGTGGTACTTGCAGCCTTCTGATACCATAGTGTTTTCATCTATAGCCCTGATGCAGGGGGACCTCAGGGGATCTTGGGTGCTGTTCTGATAAAATCTGAAAATGATAGGATACTACTCTTGATGAGCATGTTTGCCCTATATTTTACTTGTAGTGTATTTACTAAAAATGGGAGAGATCTCCGTATCCTTCTGAAATGATTTGCATCATCAAAGTATAGTTGAGACCCTACAAAAGAAGGAAAGGGGGGTTTCTATCCTGTAGTTAAATCATCTTCCTGAGCAAGGAAGAGGGGTCAGGGTCAGTTCTTGTCTCCACCTGACGGGTTTTCAGGCAAGATCTTCCCCCTTTCCTTGTGCTCAGAAAGCTTCAGGCTGCAGGAGCATGTTCCAAGTCTCTCCTGCTGGGAGCTCTTCCATTTTTTGTGAAGTACTTTCACATTAAAATTTAACCAGAGAATAAAAATGAGGCTGAGACTTATTCAGGGATTCAAACATAGATCTGTCATATCAGAAAGTGCCTATAAGTAAGTACCTTTTCTATTGTGGTTTTAGATTTAAAAAAAAAAAAAAAAAGTGGGCAGGGGCGAGGAAGGTGGTGCAGTCATCTGTGCCTGAAAATACAGCTTTTCCTTCCCTTTTGCTTCTACGTGCTTGTTAGCAAAGCAAGTTAAATAAAACATCTGCATCTAACAAAACAGACCTTTCATTTTAATAAGAAGAAAGCAAAGCGCTTCTTAAAATCTAAGTCTCATTTTGATATATTTTGGTCGGTTGACATTAGCTCTCAGTAGGTGGCTAGTAAAACTGTACTGTATTTACTTCCCCTATCCTGGAGTTGAGTTGCATAGGAACAAACGTTTTCCAGTGTTTTGGTTGCTATGAAATGACTTTTTTAAGACAGCATAGAAACTAACTGATACTGATTTATTCTGTGGCAAGTGTATGCTTTTGCAGATGCAAAATAGTGCCTGATTCTCCTCAGGTTGGTGAAGGGGCTGCCAAAGCTAAAAAATCCTCTACCCTGCAGCCTGTCTGCTCATGTCCCTGCTTGCTGCAGGGGGGTTTTGATGGTTGAGAAATGCATGCCGAGTGGCTGCGTAGTGCCATCCTCAAATGAAAGTTGTACAGCTCCGTGAGAAATTGTTAGAGACGGGGGCTCCTAATGGCAACGCTTAGCATACAACGTGACCAGAGTTATATAATGACTATGGCTTATTAAACAGTCTCACTAGAGGCAGGAAAGACAGGAGACTGACTAGATTTTGGTATGCTACGCTGGATTTTTCCTGTCTATTGAGCCAGCAGTAACTAGCTCTTATTTATTTACATTTGGTGGGTGGTCACATAAAACTATAAACCGCTGCCACACAAGGAAAATCTACTATGTAATCTAGCCAGTGTGTCTGTCTGTTCATGTATAGCCAGCTGTCTTGCTTTACAGAAGCAATGTCTGTGACAAATTGTAAGACTTGTGATAAATTGAACTTTTCCTGAATTTTTGACCACTTAATTTGCGTTTGAGCAATTAGACAAAAGGGAGACTGGCAGTAATACTGTGGACCTCTGACACGTTAAGTCGTCTTGTGGCAAATTGTTTCTTTCCTTCTCATGTTTTCCTTTTCCTCCCTAGCATGGGCATAAAATATTGTGTAGGCAATAGGGGAGCTTCTATCCAGTCCATGACTGACCACTTCGTGATGAACAGGGGCTAGGAAAGGACCCTGCCTAAGGCAAAGGGTGATTCCCGTCTCCCAAACAGAATGTGGCATGTGTTTTGTCACTGGAAGGGAGCAACATACGGGATTTTAAAATAGAGGTGTTTTAAGGTGGCCATAAATGCTACAGAGGTCATTTTTGGAGGTGTCTTGCATCTGTTCTTTTTAGGATTCTGCTCTGAGTCCCACACAGTTGGACTCGAGCAGCCTGATTCGGCACTTGGTTACTTTAGTTTTGCACCACTATAATACCGTTGATTTAAATAGACTTTCATTGGCATAAAACTGGAGCTACACAATAGTGAATCAAATATATAGAAACCAAGGTGCTTGGCTTCATAAGCGGAATAAGAAACAATACGCAAATTCTTTGCAACATTGCTAAATGAGCAGCATGTTCAGAATACATAAGTTATTTGAAGTCTTTCAGTTGGTAGGTAACGTTCAGTAAAAAGGTGCTCCATAAATCTGTTGCTTTATGCTACACCAGCTATGCATTGCGTTTTACCCGCTCATCTAATCTCCATTTTATATGCCTGTATGTCTATGTATATATGAATATTTTACAACCACACTTGAAAGGAATTACAGAAAGCTGTCCTTATCGGCCAAGCACTGCTTTATTCACTGAGGGCTTTATGGGGGCCAAGCAAATTGGGTCTCTTGCTACTTGGTGCATGTTTAGTATATCTAATAATTATTATTCTTTTTGCAGAACCCCAGCTGAAAGGAATTGTGACAAGGTTATTCAGCCAGCCGGAATACTTCCTGCAGATGCACCCAGATGGTACAATTGATGGGACCAAGGACGAAAACAGCGACTACAGTAAGAAAAATTAGTCTGTTTTGCAACCCAGTTACAATCGGATACATCACCTAGTGGTGTATACATCACTTATGAAGCTTCGTTTTTTGGAAAAGATCAAATTAGGAAGAAGCCAGCTGTTTTCTGCACAATTTTTCCATCTATACGTCCCCTTTAAATCTCTCCTGTATAATATCATTTGTTTCCTCTCCAATCTTGTTCCCTCCCCCTTCAGATTCTGTAACTGCCATCTGGGTGGGGTGGAGAATAAAACGCATGATTTGAATTGCTGCCAGAAGAGAAAGGAGATTATATTTATATGCCTGCCACGTGGGTGAAGGATATGGGGAATTCTCTCTCCAAGGAGAAGAGGAGAAAACTGTTTTTACTGTTTTCCCCTGAAAAATTCAACAAGCTTTAGGAATTACCAGGCTGGAGAAAATCAGCTGTACACTAAAATCTAATGTTTTGTGGCTAATCTGAAGGTTCAGGTACTGAATGACCTTTGCTGAAGGAGGTCGTCTTCCAAAACCTTGTTGAAAAGGATTTGATTCATGCCATCCATCAAAGCATAGCAAAGTGCAGTAGCAGAGGCATGCAGGTTTAAAAATCATGCTGATGTGCAGGAGCCGCGTTGGTTTAAACACGCGCAAGTAGCCCATCTTCGTTGCACGAGAAGTAGTTTGTCAAATACTGAAGCTCCTTGAAAAGTTAGAGAAGGTGCGAGGTGTTTTCTGCAACTTTCTATGTTTCATGGGCCTCAGTTGGGCCCTTCTGAAGGGTCAGTAGTAAGCTTAGATCCTTGCTGCCGCTAACTGCATCAATGGAGTAGGACTGACGTCTCAGGTCTGGGTCGTTCAATGTTAGCTGGGAGCTCTCCACGCTACTGCTGAAAGGATGTTGTATCTGGCCTGCCTGCCAGGGAAGATGTCTTCCCAGTCATAAGTAGCAATGAGCGAAAGGTGATCTGTGTGGTAAGCTTGACAGAAACAAACCTCAGGTCCTTTGTGGAAGGAGGGACCTACTTTATTTGGGGACAAGTCCTCACTCGAGAAGCTCCTAGCTGGTTAAAAGGCATCCTTCCTAGAGAAGGAAGCAAGATTCAAGCCGCAGATGCGGGCGAGGGTTGTCTGCTGTAGCACAGCCCACGTAGCAGTGCCTTGGCGTCACCCTGTGCAGAGTGCTTGGACGAGAGCACAAGGTGAATGCAGATCTATGTAAGCAGCGCTTCCCCCAGCGCTGCAGAGTGGGCTGGGTGCATTGAGGGGGGTGCTGCCTGCCCCAGCTGAGCCTTGGGGCTGGGCTCCATGGGCAAAGCAGTGCTTGGAAAGAGGAGTTTTTAGAAAACAGCAACTCGAACAGTGTAAGGCTGGCCATGCTGCCCTTGTGAAATGATTCAAGAGGCTGCGTTCACCACAGACTTGGCCAGTAACATGCTATGTGTTTCAGGTTTGAGTTCCCTTTTTCATATGCTGGTTTTAACATGTGAAATATCACAAATTACAATGACACAACTTCTTGCTCTTACATCCTCTGCCATAAATTGGAAAAGGACTGCCCCCACCCCTGCCTGCAAGGGAAGAGTCTGGCCTTGTGATTCTCAGGCAAACACTAACACATGTGCTGATTTCAGTGGGTTTTAATGTGTGAGTAACGACCTAGTGTTGGGTCATATTAGCTGAGTTCTTTTCTGAAAAAAGAAGCAATAGGATGTTCTCAGTCTGCAGAGGAAAATCCCATTGGAGGCCTATTTGTCAGTGACAGGCAAAGAGCTGCTAAAGATGACAGGGATTCATTACCCTCATCTATCAGTGAGGACTGAACAACAAAGTAATGGGCTTAAATGGAAGCAGAGATGAATTTAGGTAAACGCAAGAGGAAAATAAAATGCAAGAACAGTTCTGCAATATTTCAGGCTGGCAAGAGAGACAAGGAAAAGCTGGTTTGGGCTGCACCTAGGCCAGTGGTGCAGTGGGTACTTTGTGAGTCCCCACGACTGTGAGGGGGCCCAAATTGCCCAGAGAACTCTCATTTGTGCATCACATTAGAAACGTTAGAGATCAAATTGATGAGGTGCTGAGTACTTGTGAGGCACCTCCATCCTGTCTCCTTAAAGTGGAAATGGGGGGAGGAGGGCAGGCCTAAAGAGCACTTCTGGAGCATGAATATCTTTCCAGTGAGATGACAGTCCAACCTTGGCATCCTGGTGAGATAGGAGGCATCTAGCTGAAGTGTGCCAAGCTGGTCACTCAAAATTAGGGTCTATGACAAAAAGTTTGGGTCAGTTATGTGGTCTGAGGTTTCTGAGATAGACTGAGACCAAAGTAGTACCCATCCCATGACCTTAGTATTTCAAAAGAGAAGAAAATAACCTAATCTGATAAATTTGGCTCCTGAAAATGGAATGAGGAATGAGCTTTCAATGAGTTTTAATTTTAATCATGCACTCTCTTTTGTAAATCTTGAGTTTTATTCAACTGCTTACATTATGTGGAACTTTGAAATTAAAGGTTACTTCAAAACCAAACCATTTTTTTCCACTCTGGAAATGCCAGTATAAAGCACACTGACTATTTTTTGCCTTTCTAATTCCCCCCCCCCCCCAACCTCTCAATTTTAACCAGAAAAAACAAGTCAAAACTCACTTATTTAAGTGAACAGTGTCAGATCTATTTCACTAATATTGCTTATTTAAAAACATTTCTCCAGAAGTTTCCTGACCAACCAGTCAGAAGTATATGCAGTATTTCTGTGCAAGGGTGAAATTCATCAAAGGATTGATAAATAATATTTCCTTATTCCTGGACGGGATTTGGATTAATTCATATCTGCCCTCAAAGAGGACAATTGTGATGGCCTCAGCAGAATCTTTTCCAGGCTGGACGGTCATATATTCTCCATGCAGAAGCTGTCTTAACATGGTTAAGTACATAGTGGAACATCACGTTCTATACATCCTAGCAGAGTGTTCTATAGCAGCACACTGATTATTCAAATTAGCATTATGAAAGGAAGCTTAATTTTCATGGAATACATTAGGTTGGTTTACTCTGGTAAAGTAAACATTTAAAGTGAGACCCAATGTGTCCCTTAGATGTCTGATGCAATTAAAAGTTCTAATAAAAATCTAGTTATTTATATAAGGGGAACTGCTAATATTTAAGCAATTTTTAAATTAATTATCTGTCTGGTGCCCATTTTATGTATGTTCTTGAGAGGCTGATGACATTTATTTTCCACCCCCTCTTACTTAAAGACAAGAAGAAACCCAGAAGCCAAGTTCTAATGGCATTTGAATAGGCATCCAGCCAGTTTCCCGCGAAACAACACTTGGGACATCTGTTCCTTCTACCGTGCAGTTAAAGCCATGCCATCTTAATATAAGCAGCAAGACAGACCCTCTTTCTACTTGCATTGGGATACATGAATTTTTTTTAAATCAGACTGCATTTTCATGGGTGTAAGAGGACCTCATCTGTGCTCTTAGTAAAGTCACATGTGAAGCTGAATTTGGGGCAGTATTTTTTCTTTCTGACTCTAGTAACCTCATATGGTCTTTCAGGACTGATTGTTGCTGTTGGAGCTTGCATTATTATGGCTCTTACCGTAGTTGAGGAGAGTAACATCCCTTTTTCATGAGAGCCGTTTGACTCCTTAGTATGCCAGTGTAATCCCGCTGAACATCCGAAAATCTCCAACAAATGGGTAAGGGTAGGTCAACTCTACTGATCAAACTGAAAAGGCCCAACGGATCTGAGATATGTCAGTCTTATCAAGTATGTGCTGGCTATCTGCACAGAACATGGGGATGTCTTTGGGGCTTTCTAGACAGACACACAATCATAGAAAGATTAAGGTTGGAAGAACTTCTGGAGGTTGCCTCATTCCAGTTTTGAATGTTTCCAAGGATGAGATATTTCATATCTCTGTAATCTCTCTGGTTTCAGTACTGCACAATTATCACTGGGAGTAACATTTTTTTTATATCTAGTCATAATTTTCCTTGCTGCTACCTTTGTCTGGTGCTGCTAGTAAAGGACTGGCTCTGTCCCTCATTTAGGTTGTGGAAGACTGCAGTCAGATGGCCATAGCTTTCCGTTCCTCAAGCTGAACAAACCTAGTTCCCTCAGTCTTGCTTCATGTATCTTGCACCCCAGCCTCTTAACTGTCTTTGGCCTTCCTTACTCCCCTCAAGATCTTAAACCACACCATCTCATGTTCACTGCAGCCGAGGCTGCTGTTGACTATCATGATCTCCATCAGTTCTTCCTTACTCAGGAGTAGCACAAACATACTGCCCCAAAACAAATCACTAGCTGTTATAAGTTAATTTAGCTGCTCTGACTGACTTGCTACTGCTTATGTCAGCTGATCATATGGAATGTCTTCTATATGGCACTCCTTACGTTACTTTTCCATTACTGTAAATGAGTTAGCCCAGACTGATAATCAAGTATGCATTCAAAGTTTAAAAGCATGTAAAACATCTAATAAACTGTTGTAAAAGTGAAAAACATATTGATGGCCAAAGGATTTAGAGATGGAGCTTGTTAAAAGTATTAGCATCAAAACAGTAGGATCAGGTGTAAATCTACCAGCGAGTGAAAATGGTAATGAAGGAAAAGAGCAAAAAGTCCTGTCCCCCTAGTCCTTGTTCTGGGGCAGGAGGAGCATGTTCATCCCATACGTGGTTGTAAATGCCATAGAAAGTTTACCATTTGCAACAGAGGAAGAGCTGCAAAAGCACCGGCTGAATATTTTTTCTTCAAGTCAACAAGCCATGCGGCCAGTCCTACCCTACCACAATTTGTTTTTTTGGTGTTTTTTTTTTTTTTAAAAAAAAACTTTCTTACAGTGAAGCTTTGAAATATGTTCCAAATCAAGTTGAAACGTATTTAAAAACATGACAGTAAAATGTTTTGTCGTCTTAAGCGGTTTTTCTAGATGTAGGTGCAGAAACAGCTCTGAGAATTTGCAAAGTTTGGATTGATCCAAAAATACTTTAATAGAGGAAAACATTTGGTTCCTAAAATGTCTTTGGCTGTCATTTACCTGTCAGATGTACTCTTCTGCATGCTTGCCTGTCCACTTGTTTCCCTGCTCAGCAGTATGTAGAAGATGCTCTGCCATGCCTAAAAGCCATGCCTGTGGGTGGTGTTAGTGCAGTCTGCAGCACGGTGCAAGGAGCAGCCTGGCTACTGTAACACGGGGCTCAACAGGGATGTTGCTGTTCCCCACTTCCTTAGCTTATGTGGAGGAAAGAGATTTGGAGACACCTGGGTGCTTCCAAGTGGGACTTGTCACCCACTGATTCTGGGCATTATTCCCTCTGCTGCCTAACAAATACTTTGAATGGTCTGTCACAAGCTTTCTATGCAAGATAAATTGGCTGTAGAGAATGAATGATGATGCCTATTTGGTTTCATTATTAGCAGTAATGCACTCCATTTTTCAGTGGGGGAAAAAGTCGGGTGGGGAATTACTTATAAATAGACTTGTTATTTGCAGAGGGTTTTAGACCTTCATGATAGTGACAAAAGCCTAGAAATAGAAGCTCTCCTTGGTTAGTGAGCTTTTCACCAGTAGAACTATAATGTAATGCAGCTCTTTAATGCTGGGTAGCTGCAGTGGAGCTATTTGTCTCATCTTGGGACTATATCAAAGTAGCACTGTCCTTGACTCTATTGTTTACAGACCAATTCACATGCTGAACTTCATTTACCATATCCAGCTGTTGAAGTTCTCTCCTCCCTCCCATGAAATCACATAAATCCAGGTATTGGCTTCAGTGACACTTCAGCATATACTTTGATGTTTTACTGACTATGGCGCTTAAAGGCGTGAAAAGGGGCTTGGGGTGGAATTCATTTTGCCATGCTAGAGGTGCTTCCCTTTTTAGGCAGCTCACCTAGGGAAGTCATCTAGTCTTCCTTGATAAATGAGGGATAGAAGTGAGGATTCATTTGATGGGGCGATCATGAATCATTTGATTCATAATGGGATTCATGAACCCTTTTTGGAGACAAACCTAAAACTAGCTTAGGCAGGGCATCTGACTGTTAGGTGTCTTCAGTAAAGTCACTTTCTGTCTGTGTTCCCTGTATTTTCTCAGGTTTGTCTTCTGAAAAGGTATTCAGCTGTGACTCAGATTCAAATGTGTTCGATTTGAACATAAGCGGTTTCCCATTAGGCCTCTCACACCCTTTGGACCCTGCTTTTTCTCTTTGAAATTGTGCGACTCCTGTGACTTCAGTGAAGCAGTTGTCGGCACCACTGGCTGCAAGAAAAGAATTAAGCCATATTTTCATTTCTTTTTCTTTCCTTCTTTCCCTTGTTTACTTTAAATACTTTTATCTTCTGAAAAATTCCCAACGAACTTCTGTCTCTTCCCCTCTGCAATTATTAACAGGCTGTACATGAGAGAGGTTCTTAGGAAATGTGTCTCATTGGGTGCACACCTTCCTGTGGTGAGTAAAATCCACGTATGTTACTTAGCATGTCCACATGTAACTGGTCTCTTGACGGACTGGAGTTGAGCTGGACCTGATTGATCCCTTTCTGTCATACCAGGATTAATATTAGCCAGGCCTGAGGAGCAGTAGCGCTTTGAATAGGCTGTTTTGGCAAAAGCCATTCCAGCTTCCAGGGCTGAGGTTAAATCGGTGGTCTGTGGAACACGCTGCTGCTAGGCGAGGAGATTTGGGCAATGGCACAGTGGGAAGCAGGACCGTTTCTCCTGCAACTTTTATGTGAAGACCCCTTTGTGCTGTGCTCGCTCCAGTGTGATGTGTCAGGCAAAACTTTGAAAATGATCTATAAAATGAATCAGCTAGATGATGGCATCCTTACAGTCAGCTGGAAAACAGAGTGCTTCACTGCAGGCTCTGTCACTCAGTCTTGCCTCTGTATTCTGCCCCTTAATGGGTCTCCCCCGGGGCTAATTTGGACGCTCCAAATCTCTTGAGAAATTTCAAATAGTCATTTTACAAATAGATGAATGTATTTAAAAAAAACAAAACAAAACATGTGAAATACTTGATGAATGTTGAAGGGGCAGTCTGATTTTTTAAACTGATGCACGAGGAGTCTTGCAACGTCTGGGTAGTCTTGTCCTGCAAATCTCAGTGGAAACAAACCTATGCTAATGCATCAGTATTTGCTCTATCAACACTGACAGTCCTCTTCCCTTTGAGCTGGTTATGTTAGGAACGTAGCAAAAGTCTGACCTTGCATTAACGTATGTGTTCACAGGAAAGGTTATTCACTGCGATATGAGAAATGTTCCTCCCAATAATCGGGAGGAAGTGGCTGAAATGCTTTAATTGATAAGATTGCTGTAAAACTGAGTATTGAAAGCTCTTGTCCTCTTCTACGCTGCCCAGTGCTACTTCTGAATGTGGAAGAGTGCTCAAGTTCTGGAGTCTGGGAATATCTCTTCCTGAGTTTCTTTATTCCTTTGGTAGCAGAGATCACAGAAACAGTCACAGAGTCAAGTTAATTTGCATCGTTCTGGCCGTGGTAGCTGTCTGTGTACTCTTTCAGCGTATGGCAAATGCAAGAAAGTGTAGCGTGACTAGGCTTAAATCTGTTTCGGGGCAAACTAAACTAAGTTGCGTTACCTTGTGTTTGCCACAGGCAAAGACATGTACGTGCACAGTTACTACAGCTCAACTGGCCCATAGTACATTGTTAAGATGCGTTAGCTTGAGCGTGTATCTGAGCCCTTGACATTGCAAAAATGGTAGATCTGACACACCAGTGGATATGTTTAAGCTCCTGGGAGGCAGATGAATTCAGTACTTTTTAAAATTTACTTTCAGCATTGACCTCATGGCTACAGACCTTTCCTGTGTCTGGAAGCAGGACTTTTGTTTCTAATCTAGAATTTTTTGTAAGAGTCAGGAGTGGGGTGGGCTGGCCTAGGGGCAAGGCAGCAGTGGCTCTGCAGGGCAATGACTCCATAACCTTTGCTTTTCTCTTCCTTCCACAGCCCTTTTCAATTTAATTCCTGTGGGTCTTCGTGTGGTGGCAATCCAAGGGGTGAAGGCAGGTCTGTACGTTGCCATGAACGCTGAGGGATATCTCTACAGCTCGGTAAGTACTTTGCACTGCTGGGTTCCTGGAATGGTTTGGGTCTGTAGGTGGGAGGAGAGACTGCACTGTGACTTCCCGCCAGCTTTTTCTGAACACAGTCGTGTATTTGAAAACCTTTAAAAGCAGGAATTGGTGGGAGCTGCTGCAAAGCCATGTGATATTCACTCTATAATGGCTCTGTGGAGTTTTGTGGCAGTATTTTCTGACCTGTGAAGATATACTTCTGTTTTCCTTTGAGTAGTTGCTTAACGTAGGTCACAATGTGGTTTGCTGGTTATATTCTGGTTTCACACTTGTGAAACTGCATGGACTGAACAGATTTGCTTCTGAATTGCACCTGTGTAACTGATTGTAAGTGGTGCCCTAATGGGTCGTACTCTGCTTTTGACTGCCATGTAAATCCACACTAATCCACTGACTTCATAAAATGGTTCTGGAGTGTTCTGTTGGCATAGTGCTTCTGCTGCACAGATTTTCCCTGTATTTGTGTGGTCTTTTTAATGCACATAAAAGATAAGTGAGGCATTTTTTACTGACTAATTCCCCTATAACTTTCTAAGATGGCATGAAAGGGCATGAGGTTATTCGTAAGATTCTCATTTGAAGTAAGTAATTGATTTTCACAGTGAATAATTGATTCAGTGATTTATTAAATATGGCAACCCTTTGCCAGAATTTTTTATGCTTCAAATAACTTTGCTCTAGTTCTACATAGTAAAAAGTGATGGTTAATAATACACTTCCCGTTTCTGTAGTTATGATATCTTCAAAGCATATAGTCTAGGTTCTAATCTCATCTCCATTTGTGTAAATGTACAGTACAGTGATTCTGCTCTTGTCTAGGCATTTACTTTGCTTTAAAAGTGTGTGTAAAGTTGGAGATAGGACCTCTAAAAGGACAACAGTCTGTATAGCTTGGGGCATAAATGTTGATCTACCTAGCCTATGTGCCTTCCTGTAAACCTGTGGACCCAAGGAGGTACTCTACCCTCTTTCTCAGACAAAGCCAACACTTATGCTAGCTCCTGGAATAATAAAAGGCTGCTGGCTCACAGGTCTAGCAATGTTGGTATCTTTTTTCTGTTGTTGTTAGAATTCTAGTAAGTGCAATGTACTGTCACATAAGAGGTAGCTTGAAGAAGGCAAGCTTCATAGCTTGTAGCAGAAAAAATATTATCACTGAAATGTGCGTACCACTTAGGATATGCATCAAATCCCCAGAGAGATCTGTGGCACTAGCTTTTATTTACCTCTCTGAGAGCTGTCAATTAATTTGGCTTTAGGTTTTCTTGTAGGCATTCTGCGCAGTAAGGTCGGGGTGGCTGTACTTTGGAGTACTTTCCCTGTAAGATCATGCTCTCTCATAGAACTAAACTCTTTCAAAGCTGCTAATGCAGATGAAGCAGCTTGAGATGCAAAAGGCCAGCTTGCTCCTACGTAATGTTTCCTAACCCATATGATCTGTCTTCTGTCCTGGTCAATTTTAAGCGACTCGTGTGGTTAGGATTTCCCCTTTTCCCTTGGGAGGTAACAAAACTCTCTCTCCCCGGTAGCGCAGGGTAAAAAATGGTAAGTCGTTGTGTTAGTATGCCTGGCGAGATAGGTCTTGAAACTGGCTGGTTGTCAAGAAGAGACAGAGATCAATCTGGATCTCTGTAGATGCCAGACGCTTCCTGTTCTTTCATAGCCCAGTAAACATAAATGACTACCTCTAAATAAATTACGTGAGTTTGCTAACAATGAAAATCTCCTCTTTTTGTAAAGCTATCTGAGTCCTGAAGGTGATAACACCAAGTTTGATGTGGTACTGTATTATGCATGCTTCCCCCAAGCACACAGCTGTAGGGGTCTGGACTGAAGTTTTGCCCTGTGTTTGTGCAGTGTCGGGTGTAAAGGGACATAGGCCCAGAGCGGAGATGCCTCGTAGCACTAGTACTTCTAAAACAAGGAATGCGGGAAAGTAGAGTGAGAGTTCAGCAGATCTGGTGGTCTGTGTGATAGACCATCTGTGCTTTGGCATGTCAGGAGAGGGCAATAAATGGATGATGCTGGCCTGTCTGTACTCCAAGGAGATGAAGCTCACTGGACCCAGTTTTCTTTGTGTATTGACTGATGGCTCTGTCTGTGACTTGCACAGTAAATCAGTGAATTCTCTGTGCTTTAAAGCAGACCCCAAGGTAAGAAAAGAAAATTTGTGGATAAAGTATGTTAGGAGCAAGGATCGTGGGTCAAGCCGCTCGTAGCATCAAAGACGAAGAATTAGATCACAGTCCTGTAACAGATCTGGTTGTGGCTGAGAAGAGCTCAGCCTGTCCAAGCAGTCTCTGGGATGCTGCAGCTTTCTTTGTGGGGCTGGGATCCTACTCCAAGCCAACATTTGGCACGGCTATGTCAGTCTCAAAGTCTGAGCCGGAGAATCACCCTGGGGTGAGCAGGGCCTTTGTTCATGTCACCTGGATCTGATTGCTTCCCACACCAAAGGACATATCCCTGTTCCTTTGCTTACCAGACCCTAAGCTAAAGCTTTGCTTTGTCTGGGGCCAACTTCCTTTGTTGTCATTTGTGTGTCTGGTTTTTACCCAGCTTTTCCGAGGGATTTCTGAAAAAACAGTCAGTAATACCCTGTAGGTATAGTTTACTCGCACAAATCCGAACTTTTTCTGCTTTTTGGCTATCTCACCTGGTGTTTGTCCCAGACCTAGCCCTGCTTGGATGACTTGTGACACTCCAAAGCTTGAGACTGCTTTCAGATAAAATGCAACCGTCTAGGGAAACCTTTGCTCTCCACCCTACCTTGAGTCTAGATTGTCTGTAGTTTTAAGTGAACACATTTTCTCTATATTTTTTATTTTTTGGTGGTGTTTAATCTGTGTGTGCCAGCTGAGACCTTGGCTGACATCCTCTGCCCTGGATCAAACCAGAGCTGGATACAGGCTATTATCAGCCTGGTTTCTGAGACTGTTTGTGCCAGCTCCTTCTGAACTTGGGCCAAGGGACTCTTGAATGGATGGGTTTAGAATAACCAGCCCTTGGAAAAATTCTTCCCAGTGACTGTCAGCAGGGTTGAGGGAAGTCCTCCAAAGCCAAACACAGTGAGAAAGTTCTCTGCAGAAACATGCAGTCCCTTTGAGGACCCTCCTATGTTCTTGGCCTTTGCCTTTAGTAATGAGTTTACTCATCTCTTCTGTGTGGTTAGGGAAGGGCAGGGACACGGTGTGGATTTATTTGTTGCCTGAAGCCTGCCATAGATTCCTAGCCAGCTTTTGAGGTCTAAACGCATTACATGTCAAAACCTGCTTGTTTGGGAAGGAGATGTCTATGACCTGTGTACACTGTTTGCTTACACTTCAGACCTGATTTTTTTCCCCCCCCCCCAGAGTTGCTGGCCCACTACTGCTGTGGTCTGTCGGGGAATTAGGTTCTTAGCAGGCAAGAAGATTAGGCTCTTGGTGACTTGAGGTGCCTGCCTTTGCATACAGCAGGATGCAAAACAACATTTTCATAGCAAGATTGCAAAGTCTTTACTGTGTTCCCATTGAGATTTCTTCTAATGTAGAGCAGCTGTAAATTCCCTGATGATGCTTGAAGGTTTTTATCAGCACCCGCTTTGGGGAGCAACACAACTCTCCCATAGGGATCTGCTGTTAGCTTTATATACCAAAGCAACAATGTACAGAATGAATGAAGGACAATCTGTATTATTTGTACTGTCTTAGCACTTGGGAAGCCCAGACCAAAAGGTGGTTGTTGCAGAGGCTAGAGAAAAACAGAGTAAAGAGGTACATCCCACTTCACTGAATTTACAACCTAATCATAATGTGAGAGGACACAGAACATGCTCTCCTGTCTGTCTATCTGGAGTTAGTAGTTCCGCTACCAAAGTGATTCCTAGTGTTGGTATAATCTTTCTCTGTGATGCTGAGGTATTCACTTCTCCGCTCTTATCTGTGGCTCCCAGCTTTAGCTTTGTTACCCCTGTTGCAGCTCATAGGAGTGTGGGGAAAGGAGTGCCTGCAAAATGTTTTGGCTGTGAGGTAAACATCGTTCTTCTGGAGCAGATGCTCATCATGGGCCTATGGAGCTGCTACAGGCCCACCCAGTCACCCAAAGTACTCTGAAATTGCAGCTCTCAGTATGATATGTATAATTCAGTGGCATTACAGCTGAGATGGGTTTTGCCCCGAGTGCATAACACTTCTCTTCTGAAATGTACTGCTCTAACATATTCCTTGTTGTTTAAGTTCTAATTATTTTTGAAATGGCAAATCATGATACATAATTTATTGGAAAGATTGAGAAAACCCTAGCAGAGATATGGAATATAGAGGAAAAAAATGGGTCACTTACAAGGGCTCAGTATGATTTTACAGTATAAACCTATGAGTTTGAAATGCTGAAATTAGAGCTTGAATCACTTCAAAGATTCCTGCTAATAAGGAAATGGTTATGCACAGTAACAAAAAAAAAAAAAACAGCATTGAAAAAACCTAAGTCACATTAAGAGCTCAGTGTGTCTTTTCATTTTCTTTCTCTGCTTTTGTATTCTGCTCTATCACTTTGCATAATAGACATGTCTTGCATAATAATAAACAAGCATCTGGGGAAGTATGTATATGAACTGTATTTTTTTTTAATCTCCTTGCAATGCTATAACTATTTCACTACAACTCCTCTAAGGTTTCTGCACTCTTATTTACATCATCTCAAGGTCATTGGCTGGAATCAATCGTGCTGCATTCTCTGCCCTAATAGGCTTGGGTTGTTAAACCTGCGCCAGCCAATGCCGTTTCTTTAATTCCTATTTGACCTCCAGTGATCCTAGTTGATTCATTCAAAAGTCCAGTTATGTGAGGCAGGTATTCTGCTCATTATGCCTTTTGTAAGCTTTGCAAGCAATCGCACATGCTGGGGGGATTTCCCTAGTTCACGTGCCTCAGTTAGGAGCCAGGTCAGCGGAGACAGCAAAATGTCTGCAAAGGCAATGCACAGCAGGAGCCCAA